TACGACAGTGGGAACCACTTTATGATGATTAAGCTGTGTCTACGACAATGTGTATAAAAAGCACGAATCTCGTTTTCATCGTAAAATTGGGGGTCCACAGACATGGAGGCCAAACTCGGAATGTTTTCTTCAGGCAATGGTATCTGATCTTGGGGTCTTCTACCAGGAGTACCAGGAGTTGCACGTGGAGCTTGAGTGCGAAAAACGGAAGGGGCAGCTTGGTGGTGTTGAGAAGTAGAAACATGGCGTTCATCAGAACCAGGACGTTGACGGTCTTGGTGAGAGACATTGGGACTTAGAGGACGTGCAGAAACAGTAGGACTATGGGGATTGGAACCGGTATCGTCAGCCATGCTTCTCCACCAATGTAATGTTCGGAGCGGGATTTAATATAGAGAGAAGGAGAGAAGAGAGCTAATAAGATAATCCTTTATTGTAGGATGGCAATGGATATATATATAATGATAACAATTGTTTCAGAATGGATAATGTGTGAAATAAACGAAGATACAAAGAACACAAGAAAGGGGCAAGGATAAGTCCTTTGAGATTGATGTTTATTCTGAAGACAAAATGATGGTTCTTCTATATCTTTACTATTTGAAACTGCAGCTGTACGGGAAGACGATTAGGATGAAGAAAAGATTTCCATGGACGTATCGGATGAGAAAATGATGATAAGAATGAAAGATCTTTTCTAAGATGTCGGATCAAGTCGTGAGAGGATTATTGCCATTGGTGTGATTACCAAGAGGTTGTTCTTTTCTATGTGCTATTGGCTATACGTTAAATCTCATTCTCTTTCCATGGATCATCTTACTTAGGTAATCCTGTGTTGACCACTCATGATGTAGGGATAGTTTAACCGTTGTCTTAGATAACGGAAGAAGTGCTTAAATGATTATCATGGATGTGTGCCTGATATTGATGTAGGCTAATGTCACGTGTTTTTATTCAAGAAGTATCTATGTACACAACATTGCCCTCTGCCAGGTTAAACTATACCCTGTAATTAACATTGCGTTTAAGGCGTTTGCTTTGTCTACTGGCTTGAGCAGGCATCGGTCTTTTGGAGGTAGTCTTGTACAGTAGATTGCAGTGAAAGTTGAACATGAAAAGGGAATTTTGGTGGCCAAGAGATTTATTGTTGGATGTTGGCAAAGTAATTTTGGTGAACAAGCACTTTTATTTTGGAGGGTGGCGAGATAATGTTGGTGAGTTGGCAGAAGAATAATGGCGGCGAGTGAAATAAAGATGGAGGGTGGAGACATAATTTTGATTGGCGGGCGTCGTAATGTTGGTGGGTTGGCAGAAGAATAATGGCGGCGAGCGAAATAAAGATGGAGGGTGGAGACATAATTTTGATTGGCGGGCGCATAATGTTGGTGGGTTGGGAAATAAA